GTTGTTGCCGTTGTTATATTATTATTGTTGTTCTTTCCACTGAGATTATCTATTTTTACTTATTATTACAACATTGTCCTTTTGGTACTTTAACCTTAGAGATCAAACAAAGTGCATCCCCAGAGCTCGCGCCAGAAGTAAAAGGGACAGCATGGGTAGGGAGACGTGGCATAAATGTCAAGTCCTTGCGGGATTTGATAACACTAGTTTGCTTCAGTTTTACTCTCACTTTTTACACATCGCGGAAACTTTGTGTCGAGGTGTATGCTCAGTGGGAAAAAATCTCGTGAGGGGAGAGAGAGCGAAAGAAGCTCGCGACGCGGAAGCAGGAGCAGGGACGGAGGGAAGGCCGAGGAGCAGCTCGAGGCGGGCGGCGCGAGGAGGATGGATGCAGGCGAGGGACGGGCGGCGCGAGGAGGAGGTGGACGGGCGGGCGCGAGGAGGAGGCGGATGCAGGCGAGGGACGGGCGGCGCGAGGAGGAGGTGGACGGGCGGGCGCGAGGGCGAGGTATGGGTGGCGTAGAGGCGTATCATGCAGTAGTCTATCAGGTGCCGCCGCGTCGTCGCCCCGCCCGCCCGCGCGCCCCTCGTGGTCGGTTCGCGGTTCCCTGGATTTCACGATTCTTTTCAGAGGCGGCTGTTGGGTGATTTGCGCGAGTTGCTGCCACGCTGTCGACACCGTCTTAAAGGCGGTCCCGTCCTCCTCTAGAACTTTGGCTTGCATTCCTGTCTTCTTGGTGTGCGAAGCGGGGTTGCATAGCCCGTGCTCTACGTGTCAATATCAATGCACGTGTGTCTGCACGTAGACTGCTGCGTCGAGGGGAAAACCGCACACCCTACAGAGGGAAGTTCACCAATGAAACATTTTGAATGGACGGAAAAAAACTTTGTGAGTAAACGCATCAAAGGCAGTGTTGCAAGACCCTTTGATCGCAGCTAACGAGGCCCGAGAGATAAACAAAGGCCGGCCGCAGGAGCGGGCGTGTCGGCTGCAAGACTCGGCCCACAGTGAATTGTCCTCAGCCATCGATCCGGGTCGACCTTGAGCCGGCCACGGAGCGCGGACCCTCCGGCGGGAAACGTTTCTCGCCCCCGACGCCTCCGACGCCTCCAAGGCCCTCGGAGCCGCGTCGGTGCGCTGCGGACTCGGCCTCGCCTCGGGGCTCGTCACAGCTCTGGTTGGGCGCATTTGTGCCCCGAGATATTTTGTGCTGATCTCTTTTGAGAGGTAGTATGTGTGCGCGCACGCACGCACGCACGCACACACACACACACACACACACACACACACACACACACACACACACACACACACACACACACACACACACACACACACACACACACACACACACACACACACACACAACACATACATACATATACGCACACATAGTATATATGTAATGTGTGTAATATAAACTGTGTATATATATGTATATGCATGATATATATATATATATATATATATATATATATATATATATATATATATATATATATATATATATATATATATATATATATATACATATGTTTTTGAATTTATCTATTTGTCTATTTATTTATTTATTTATTTATGTATGTATGTACATACTATATGTGTATATATACACATAACATGTATACATACGTAAAAAACTCAAACTTATCTGAATCCGCGCGACGCCAGTGCCTCGTGACAGCTGTTTCCCGCACGTGACCTCCCACCTTTCCCGTGGTGAGCAAGGGTCTCGGTCCCGCTGCAGTAGGACGGGAGTGTTGAGGCCTCCAGTAAAGCGGGAAAAAAAGGGAATGATTGCTTCAAGAAAGTACTTTGTCTTTCTAGGTGATATTTATTTATCTCTTTATTTTTATTTTATTTTTACTTTTTTTATTTGATTTATTTATTTATTCTTGGTTTCATGTTATTTATTTTTGTGTAGTTTTCTCTTGATTGTATTATTTTTTTCTTTTATATTTTCCTTGGTTTCCTGTGCCATTCAGGGGTTAGCCGTTCCTTTTAACGGCGCGCTATCCCTTGGGAGCTGTTGGACAGAAGGGTAGTGGGAGCGAAGAGAGGCGAAGATAGGATGGAAGGAGGTGAATCAGTAAGCGAGAGAGAGAGAGAGAGAGAGAGAGAGAGAGAGAGAGAGAGAGAGAGAGAGAGAGAGAGAGAGAGAGAGAGAGAGAGAGAGAGAGAGAGAGAGAGAGAGAAACGAGAAAACGAGAGAGAGGAGAGAGAGAGGAGAGAGAGAGAGAGAGAGAGAGAGAGAGAGAGAGAGAGAGAGAGAGAGAGAGAGAGAGAGAGAGAGAGAGAGAGAGAGATATGAAGTGAACCTTAAAATGTATATTATTTAAGTCTGATCAAGTGTGCTGCATTACAGTTAACTTGCATGTGTTACACACATTCCCCACCACTTCGCGGTCTACCTGTCTATATCTGCATTTATATAGATCTATTTATGAATATACATGTATATCACATGAAAGGGCAGTAGAAGCAGAATAAAAACGTGACGTTTCGAACTTGTCAAGAGTTCCTCATCAGACTAATAAAAAAACAAAATTCGTTTTTTTAATACGTCAGATGCGGAACAATATTGACATTCGAAACGTCTCTTCATTATGTCGTTTCTCTTGCGGCAAGACTTTCACTTCATGTGTATGTGTACACGTCACTGCGTTTGTTTGTTTGTGTTTGTGTTCATCTGTATATATAAATGATCTTAAACCTTGAACCCAACACCAGTCTCCGCCCCAACCCCCTCCATTCCCCTCACCTCCTCCCCGACTATGCAATATCGAGTGTCCATACAACAGACTCGCCTTGCAAAACAACTTTTATTTGCATTTTGAAAGATTGCATCGTTTTTTGCTTATAAGGTACTGAGGATTTCAGGTGCTGCGAAAGGGCCTCGGCTATTTACGTCAACGGCGATTCTCCTAATCGGAATTTTTCAGGTGACCAAATTTCCTTGCCGTCTTGCACAACTCGCAGCAGCATTAGCCGGCTCCGCTTAAAAGGAAATGCGCTGTCCTGTGTTTACGGTCCTCTTGGAAAATTTTGGTCGTGGGGAGGAAGAGGAGGGCGGCGCTTGCAAATCTACGTGATTGTATTACAGCCGCGGGAATCCAATTTAGGAACACTTGAATTTAAATAAGAATGGGGTCGTAGCCAAGCCAAGGACTGGAGGCGGAAACCAGTTGGAGTATGTGAAGTAGACGCGACATACACAAACAAACGTACACGCACACACACGCACACATTCAACACCCCACCCCCACCCACACACAAAAAATATATGGAGAGAGAGAGAGGGGGGGAAGGGGGGATTGTTCATTTTGAAAATCATGGTGAAGGTTTTTAGGCCTATACGGGAAGTCCCCAAGAAAGAAATGCTGCAGGTGCACGCACAGAGCCTACATCCACGCTGAAAGCCACCGGAAGCCAGAAGCCAGCAGCGCTCTATTTCAAGAGTGAAGTTCTGGTGGCGGAGTACTGACGCTATCGCCGGCCCCTCTGACGGATTTGGTTGATGACGCGCAAAACCCGTGTACATTGCTCGGTTCGATCCTCTTAACTCTAGGCTAGTCAGTTGTACCCCTCTTCGCCCGTCCCTCTCCTCCTCGCCCTCTTCCTCGTCCTCCTCCTCTTGTCTGTTTGCATATAGATCTATCTTACGGTATGTCTCTCTCTCTGTCTATCTGTCTGTCCGACTCTCACTTTCCTACAATTTCCTTTTAAATAGCTGAACATTTTTGTTGTTGTTGTAGAGGCTTATAGTGTAACATTTCTTCTAAGCACGTACGAGCTTGAAAGGGTTTTTTCCGATGTTTCCTTTTCGACTGATGTAAACCTGATGTCCTGTTACAGCGAGTGAGGATGAACGCTTTCCACTTTGATGTTATCGCATTGATGGAAGCAAGTGAGACATTCCTTCCTTCATTGGTATTTTCGAGCTGCTTTGGCATCGAATCTTCGCGAGAGAGAGAGAAAAAAAAATGAAACTAACACAAGATCCGATTATCCGCATTTGAGAATCTGGTTGCAAACATCTCTCTTAGAAACTAATTAGAATGATCCTTTTCATGCCCAGATTTCCGCGAATATGCGTAATGGGATTAAGGTGTTAGCAGAACACTTCCTGCTCGATACAATAGGAGCAGCGGAAGGGGTGTAAAGCAGGAAACTCCTGTATTCAGTCCGTACTTTATACCTTCTCTTTCACCTCTGCTTTTATGAAGGAAGTCGGGAGAAAGTTTATATCCTTGTTTTGGCTTTTTCCTCGCACAAGATGCGTATCGCCATGTAAGAGCGAGGCGTTCAGGGACACTTCTGTTCTGCAAGTGCGGGTACTTGGTGTTGAGTGCTGTGTGCTGCGTAATAAGGCAGAAAGTAAAGGAGCAAGGAGGGTAGAACTAGGAGAAATAAGGCCGAGGTGATAAAAAAAATCTCAATATAAAATGAAAGCACTGTTACGAGAAGGTGCAGGCTGACCATTAACTGAAATGACCTACATTTGTTTAGGATATGTGAGCGTCGAGATTTTACGATATGCGGGTGGGTTTGAAGCCGGCGCGCCGCCTTTGGTTGGACTCAGGTAAGACGGCGCTCCGGTCGTGCCTTGTCGCGAGAGGTGTGCTTCGGGGCAGGATGAGTCGAGGAGGGTGTAGGGGTAGGTGGGAGAGGGAGAAATCATTGACCATTTCTCGATGACGGCATCGTGGCTGGAAAGTCTTGGTCGGTACAGCAATTTGAGCTCTTCGCTTCTGTGGGATATGTATATGCTACTTTTGTTATTGAAATCATCCTTTGAATAATTTTTTCACTTGTATTGTGGACAGTCCTGAAATTGTCAATCACTGTTACTATTGTTAGTTGCTACAATGCCAGCTACCTGCTGTCTCATGCATCTTATATATCTATTGTTGTATGACTGCATTGCAGTCTTCTGTTTGTTTGTTTTTTATGCCAATGTTTTTTGTGACAAAGTCTAACAGGTATCTTTTACTTTCAGATGGAAATCGTCTGAGGATATATTCATGTCGAGCTCAGGAAGCACGATATTGAGTCAGCCAATAAATGAAGAAGATGGAGAGCCAGTATGTTACACTAAATCTGGCAGCTCCCATCGCTTGGTGACCTCAGTGTCCGCATACCCCTTGTCCAACACCAACACCGTTTCCACTGGCATAAGCAATTCAACATCTGCTGCTGCTTCTACCTCCACCATATCTTCCACATCTTCCTCCTCATCAGCCTCCACAAATGCCTTCTCCCACATGAATTCTCTCCAGTCCCCTCCCACGTCCAGTCAGACTCCTGCGGGTTGCCACACCAATGCCAATGCCAACCTCCCTTACGCTGTCAGTAACAGCTCCGAGATGCCAGTGTCCAACATCATCAGCACTTCCACACCAATTGGAGACGTAAACAATGCCCAGTGTAACTCCATTGGTGGCATAACTCCTCTTGACCTGTCCACCATACCCCCAATAACACACGTCACTCTGCCCACACCCACTGAAAATGGCGAGGGTAGATTCAGGTAAATTTTATGAACCGTTATAACCTGTCTTGTGTTTCTAGCGAAGACAGTTGGTTAAGAAGCCACATGGAGGAACATGTTAGTTAAGAAGCCTTATAGTGAAAATTTTAGATCTAAATTTCAAGAGAAAAGTTTATAAAAAACATCATTTGTCAGATAAGTCAAGTTTTAATTTAATGCAGCTAATTACTTCTTATCTTACAAATAGGTAATTGTGTGTATATATATCTGTGTGTGTGTGTGTGTATATGTGTGTGTGTGTGTGTGTGTGTGTGTGTGTGTGTGTGTGTGTGTGTGTGTGTGTGTGTGTGTGTGTGTGTGTGTGTGGTGTGTGTGTGTGTGTGTGTGTCTCTCTCCTCTCTCTCTCTCTCTCTCTCTCTCTCTCTCTCTCTCTCTCTCTCTCTCTCTCTCTCTCTCTCTCTCTCTCTCCTCTCTCTCTCTCTCTCTCCCTCTCCCTCTCCCTCCCTCTCCCTCTCCCTCCCTCTCTCTCTCCCTCCCCCTCCTCCCCCTCCCTCCCTCCTCCCTCTCCCTCCTCTCCCTCTCCCTCCCTCTCCCTCTCCTCTCCCTCTCCTCCCTCTCCTCTCTCTCTCTCCCTCTCCTCTCCCTCTCCCCTCTCTCTCTCTCTCTCTCTCTCTCTCCTCTCTCTCTCTCTCTCTCTCTCTCTCTCTCTCTCTCTCTCTCTCTCTCTCTCTCTCTCTCTCTCTCTCTCTCTCCTCTCCTCTCTCTCTCCTCTCTCCTCTCTCTCTCCTCTCCTCTCTCTCCCTCTCTCTCTCTCTCGCCCTCTCTCTCTCCTCTCCCTCTCTCCCTCCCTCTCTCTCTCCCTCTCTCTCTCTCTCTCCTCTCTCCTCTCCCTGTGATAACCACACACATACACATACTCAGTGAATAGTATTATATTTTAATGCAAATTGAAGCAATGAGGGTAAGAGGATGTTCTGTAGTTCATGCAGTAATTTTATTTTCAGCCATAGTCCCACACCAAGCCCAAAACCAAGTCCTACTCTCCTGCCACGGCAACCTTCCTGTGATAGCAGTGATGACCGAACAAACAGAAACGAAAACTCAGGATATATATCTCGAGAGGGTAGTATGGAGCGGTCATATGTGGATACTTCGATCGACCACCAGCCCTTGGACAAGACAGTTCCAGTAAGTTTAAAATCTGGTTTTCTCTTTTGATTCTTTGAATAGAGTGTCAACTTTCATGACTTCAAGACAGTAGTTTGGATTTTCCAATGATCTGATTGCTTTTCTTGGTTTCCATATTTTATTTGTTGTTTGATCACTCAGTAAAATACCAAGTTGATTTATATTTCCATTATATTAGAATCATGTATGAAGATTATTTTAGTGGTGATGCTATTTACAGTTTAGTGTAAACATTGTTATTTAGCTAGAAATATCTAACATGGTAAATGTTGCTATTTCAAAATCATACTCTAATGAGTCTATTTGCGTTGATTGCAGTAGTATATTTATATCTGATATTTCTATGAGAGATTAATTAGGGAGCTTAACTAAGAGATTAATTAGGGAGTTTAGATTTATAAGATGTATAAAAAAATGTATAGGGATAGATAGCTTCTAAATCCTTTATAATTGCTCTTGTTTATCAAATAACTTTCTCTTCAGCATGACTCAGTGAGCCGATCATCAGAGTCTAGTCGGTCTGTAGAGGCACCTCGGACCCCAGAGATTAGCCACAGTATTAATGGTCTCGCAGTCAAAGAAAGAAAAGAGTCCCGAGATTCTAAATCTAGTGATAAGAAGAGCAATAAGGCATGGTACAAGATGCTGAATCCAACGTACAAGAGCAGATCAGAGGACTTGAAAAGATTATTTAAGGACCTGCCATCAGATGAACGACTTATCGTGGGTTTGTATCTCATTTCACTCATAGTGTCTGTCTTAATTTTGTCAAGATGCAGTTCGTTTTCACCTCTCTACACCACAGAAGGCACAGAAGTTATGAAACTCAGCAAATGCATTTGTATGGATGTTCAGACTTATATTGCATCTTATGATAGTTTTTTGTTTGCTTTTTGAGATCAAGGTCTTGATGTCATCGTGTTTTGTTTTTTTTTAAAGTTTAGTACACTGATAGAATTTGAAATTGCATTTCATTTCCAAGAACAAAAAATTGTCAAACACTTTTTGTTGAGGCCCCTGTCTACAATTTGATTTTTTGGGTAAAAGTCTCAGAGCAGTTACAAGTTTGAAACCACCAGTAACTTTACTTAGCCCATTTGATGGCCCCACTTGATGCCATAATTGATTTTACACACCAGATTTTCCAGTTGGCACTGACTCCATTTGACGGCCCAAATAGTGGCAGGGAAATGGGCTGCCAGGTTTTTAAAAGCTGATAGGCAATTGAAGTATATACTCAAACAAGGCAGCAAGGTCCTCAAGGGCTAATATTGAATGGTTTGAATGTCCAGCACAGTGGTTCTTAACCTTTTTAGAGTCACAATCCCCTTTAAGATTCTGATGAAAGCTATGGACCCCCATAACCAGAAATATTCACATAAATAAATTTGCATGTAATGTGTAAAGTGTATTTTATTTAGTGTAATTTGTTTGTTTGATATATATATTAGATTCTGAAAGTATTGAACTTTAAAGTAAACAATCTAAAAAGAAACGCATCTTTGTATGCAAGAAGTAAGTTTTTATTTATTTATTTATATATTTCCACATACCCCTAGAAAGCCATCCATGGGCTACAGGTTAAGAACTCCTTGTCTAGCTCATTATCACAAATTCCAGTCAACTTTATGGGTACTGAAATAAAATGCATTATGATTTATTTACAGGCTCTAGACATAGATTATTACAAACTCCAGTGAACTTTGTGGGTACTGAAAGGAAATACATTACCATTTGTTTACATAGACTGAGTGCAGCAATAACAGATGGGCATATTTTTGACATAAAAAAATGTAAGAAAATATATTTTGTTTTATAAAGATGGTAATGTCAAAGAAAGAACAGATGTGGAGTCTTGAGCAACCACAAAAGGTCAAACATCTTGATTGAGTCTGACATTTTCACTCATCTGAGCATCCATACATGCTTCTGGTAACTAATTTCCCAGGCATACAGTTATACATCTTTGTGCCACCCCCAAATGGCCTGAAATATTGCAGGACCTACCCTCCCCTGTATGTTTGTAATATTATATGAGCTGCTGTGGAGGGACTGACACTCACATGCTGAACAGTTGCAGATGCGATTATCATTGATTATGACCTAATTATATTTTGAAATGAATGAATATTATAAAAAAAAATAAAAGGTGCACAACATACAAGCTTTTAACATTAGTTAGGAGTCAGGGGAACTCTCCTCCCCCAAAAAGGCTTCCTCCCCCCATCCCCAAATTTTTTATAATAAAAATAGGCTTCCTGCAACATATTCGTTGCTTGTAGAAATTCCTTGTCTGCTATCTTTTTTTTTCTTTTTTTCTTTTTTTTTCATTCAAAATTTAACTTGAGTAAACTTTACAAGTCAAACAACGTATCAGATTTTGATAATATTTCTTAAGTTTTGAATGATTGTAAGTGAGTGAATGGTAAGGAATTTACGTATTTGTAGGCATATAAAAATCACCAAAAATCCATTCCTTTCAAAACTCAAAAAAAAAAAAAAAAAAGTTATTTGATTGTATGAAATGTCCTTCTTGAGGAGAACTATGCTTTTGAGATTGAAAAAAAACTGGGACAAGTGATTTCTACCATATAAATAACAGTTCTTGAAAATTGGCCTTATTTTTTCATAGATGTTCACTTTTCATATACCATTATATTTATATCAGAATCTTCTATATATCACAAGAGAGCCCCTGCCTAGACCTTTCCACTGTTGCTTGTTACATTAGATGGGATCATTGGTTAGTGCTCAGCATCACAAAACATGGGATGCATGTCAATGAAAAGCCATCCAGCGCTGCCACCATGGGATCCACATAACCATGTAACAAGTTTGTTTCGTGACACATCGCAACTTTAGTGCACACCACAGCTGCTTCCTTTGCAATACCTGAGAATGGTCCCCAACATGGTTGCTCCACTTTCTTTTTGCTAGCCCCTCTGCCCTCCAGTGACTATCAAGCCCAACCCAAAGTGGATAATTGAATGGAAGTCCTATTTATTCCCAAATTCAGTTCATAAGGTGATATTATCTAAGCTGAACCCTCAGCTCATATCAGAGGAAAGTACTATTATCTTGAAAAAATTCCATTGATACAATCTTCTTCAGAAGTGTTATATGTAGGAAAGAAAATTGTCATGCTTGCTGTACCCATGCTAATACATTGATTTCATTAACTTAAAAAAACAATGATAATTAATAGTAATAGTGATAACAAGAGGTAATAATAATGATGATACTAATGGTAATAATGATAGAAATTATGTTAATGATAGTAATGATAATAACACTAGCAATGACAGTTACAATAACAATGACAGTAATCATCATCATCATAATGATAATGATAATAATAATGATATACAGTAGGAGTAATAGTGATAGGAGTAGTAGTGCTAATAGTAGGGTTTGTAGTAGTGGTAGTGGTGATGTTGGTTGTATGATGTGTCTCTAACCATTGGTGTCCATGCATTTAACCCCCTATCAGCATAGATTTGGGTGTCTGTGTATCTGACTACCTGTTTATATCTGAAGGAATGCCTGTTTGTGTATCAGTGAGTGCCTATTTATATGCATGTGAACACCTGTTTATGGTGAAGCAAGTTCTTGTTTCAAATTGTTCTGCAGATATACAATATTTATTTTTAGAGATGATAAATCCCATGAAATAGAAAAGAATCATTGTTACCCTGTCTCATGATGAAATTAGACAATATAGTAGGCATATGTTTTTCCTGTTAGTCATCATAAAATCTTCTTGCTCATATATCTTCCTCTTGGCTCTTGTCGGCAGCTCTCTAAGTCCCATACACTGCTACAGCAAGATATTTGATGAGGAAAGAAATTTTCACAGAAACACTCTTAGAGATATTTGCAATTTGATTTTTCACAATATTTCTTATCACATACTTTTAACTTTATGATGTAAATATGAGGGTGCTGTTAAACTCTTACAATGTGTGCCACTATTATGTCTGCCTTAGAAAATTGGAAATATCTAAATTAGAAATATGATAAAACATTTTCCGTAGCAATAGCTAAAAGACTGAAAATAACTATAAACGGATATGCTCTTGGCATAAGGAAAAAGGGCATAGATAAGATTGAATGAATGGAAGATTTAGGAAAGGAAGGTTCTACCATTTGAACTGGTTTGTGTTGGTGTGAGTTCCCACTGGTATGGCTGGGTTCTAAAGGGGAGTGGAGATCGACGGGGGAACCACCGAAACTCCTGGTGGATGCTGCTTAGCTATGGTGCTGCTGGATGATTTTGAGACGAGGCTTGATCTCATTCTGGTCTGTACAGTGTAAGTACACAGGAGCTGTGTAAGCGAACAGGGAATGAGAGGAACCTGCAGTCCAGTCAGAGAGCTGTGAGGTGGCTGGATTAGCCAGTCAGGTCTCCGCAGTGAGTCGTGAGAAGCGCCTGTTGGTGAGTGAGTGAGGACAAGGCTGTGGACATGGTGGACCCACTGGTTATGGAAAACCTGGGCGCTGCACGTACTACTCCCCCTCCAGTGAGTGAGCTAAGCAAGTGAAATACAAATGTCCGTATCACTCCATGGGTCACCAGTGTGGTAACAGAAACACACAGAGTGATTTGTGTTTTATTTTTACAGAAAGGTAAAGCTTGTGTATGTGCGGTGGAGAGTGAGTCTTGTTGTAGCTGATGCTGAACTCCAAATGATGATCTGGAAACTGAGGTCACAGATTATATATTAGTCAAATGATGTCAGGTCTAGTGATGATGTTTAGTGTTTTAGCTTTTGCCTCGGGGGGACTGCCCACTTTGCCGAACCTTACAGATGATGAAGCGCGGTGGGCGCTACTATGCTGATGAAGGTGGGTGCAGGGAATTAACATTAGAAGGTCATGCACACCAGTGAACCTGACCAAATGGCAGCGATCACTCCGCATTGCTACAATACTCCCCCTCCAGTGAAACAACGGTGGGAGCAAAAGTAACAGAGAAAGTGTTGACCATGGCAATGGTCTGGGTGATTGGGCTTGAGTGAGAGCCATCCTCTCACTGAGCTCCCTGATGTAGTCATGAGGTGAAGGCGTATCGTTTTAGGGCTCTATGACCAGGTCAGCTGGTAGGGTGAGTGTCATGCCTTAGACTAAGTCACCTGCTCTGTAGCCAAGGTCTTGCTTCATAGCCACCCAAATGTTGAGGAGAGTAAACTGTAGATGATTCACCCAGCCAGAAGGGGTAGCGCTGGTGAGAGCTGTCTTCAGCTGTCGGTGAAATAGCTTGACCATACTGTTGGAAGCTGGATGGTATGCCGTTGTAAGATTCAGTTTGTACCCAGGAGTTCTCTTAAGAATGCATATTCAAACTAGCGGCCGCAGTTTGTGATGATTTTTGTAGGCATCCTGAATCTTGCCATCCAACCGGCAACAAACCTTCAGGGTGTCTGTGGTAATGCCCTTGATGAGAAACGTCTCAGGCCAATGAGTGAATTTGTCGATTACAGTTAGGAGGTAAGCATAGTTACCATTTGTGGAAGGGGGCACACAATATCGAGGTGGACACGCTAAACACGCCTCTCTAGTGTGGGGAAGTTGTGCCACGGTGAATTAGTGTGTCTATGTACTTTGCTTTTCTGGGACTCCAGACAGGTTCTGCTCCAGTTTCTGCCATCACTGTTGATGCTGAGCCAGACTATTTTGCTGGTGATTAGATGTTGTATAGCCCTAATGCCATGATGATGGTAAGCCTGGAAGAATCATCAATAGAAGGCAGGGGAATGTATGGGTGTGGACAGTCTGTTGAGATGTTGCAGATGATGGTGATGCCACTAGGAAGAGGGACACGTAAGAGTAGATTGCAGTCCTCCTGAAATAAAGGTGGAAGAGTTGCATCTGACTGTTGCTCTGCTGCTACCTCTTCATAGTCAATGGTTCCTTCAGGAAGAACAACATTGGCAATCGTAATCCTGGAGAGGGCATCGGCTTCCTGGTTATTGGAGCCCTTGACATGACATGGATGTGTTTGATGAATTGGGCTATTTAGTCTAGTTGCCTTTCTTATCGCAGATTTTGCCGTTGGCTGTGAGTCTGCAGGGCAAATGTTAGGGGTTTGTAGTATGTCAGGATGGAGAATAGGTGGCCCTCGATGTATTAGCAGAAGTGCTTCACAGCACAGTAGGCTGCAAGAAGAAGTTCACATCCAAAGGCACTGTAATGGGTTTCACAGCTTAGAGAATATGTGGAGCACCACAACTAAGGAGAGTGGCTCTACTAAGGCTCTCCTTGCAATTGTGTAAAGCATCATCTGAGACGTCAACTCATGCCATGGGTATACCAGGAGAAGAAGTTCACATCCAAAGGCACTGTAATGGGTTTCACAGCTTAGAGAATATGTGGAGCACCACAACTAAGGAGAGTGGCTCTACTAAGGCTCTCCTTGCAATTGTGGAAAGCCACTTCTGTTACTGACGTCCAATAAAGGGCTTTTGGATGCCCCTTATGAGGTTTAACCAACATCTTCTTGAGGGGAACTGCTGGATCTGCACACTTTGGGATGAAACACCTGTAGAAGTTTAGCATACCCAGGAACCGACACAGCTGATGCTGAGTATTGGGTCTGGTAAAGTTGGTGGTGGCTCTTACCATCTCTTGGGTAGGAGTGAGGCCTTCAGCTGAAATGGAGTGGCCCAGGAAGGTCAATGAAGGCACTGCAAAGAGGCACTTGGATGGGTTGATCACAACTCTGTAGTCACTGAGGCGTTGCGAGAATGCCCTCGTATGTATGAGATGTTGTTCTTCCATCTGGCTGGCGATGAGGATGACATTGAGGTAGACAAAACAACCTCCAGGACTGCGGGTAACTTCATCCATAAAACACTGGAAGGTCTGAGCAGCGTTCCAAAGACCAAAGGGCATCCAGGTGAACTCAAAAAGACCAAAAGGTGTTGTGACAGCTGTCTTTGGGATGTCCTCAGCAAGGGGTATCTGGTGGTAGGCCCTTACCAAGTCAGTGATGAAGAATATACTGCAGCCTTCCAAATTCTGTGAAAAAGCCAAGGCTGTGGACCTTGTGAACCCAACCTAGCCAACTATGCTGGTTGCAGGTCATGGTTGCTATAAAAGCATGAAGCAGAATGGAATAATTGCGTACATAAGTTAGGCCTTGAAGACCACTGGTGGAAAAAATGGGTGAATAAGGAATATAAATGTTAGTGAATGTAGTCATCTTAGTCTTAAACCAATAGAAGTACCACTTAAGTGGTATCTCTCCCAAGTATATGTCTTCTAATCCTGGCCCATGTGAACATGCATGTGCGGTATCAAGACTCCTTGATGTCTCTTTGCTATACTGTTAGCTCTTATTCTACATACACACTTTTTGGTGTTTGCCATTTTGTGAGTTCTGTATGTGTCACTTGCCATGTTGTATCAAGAATGGAAATAAACTGTTCTTGAGTCGACTCCATATTGTCTCTCCAGATAGACTACAGTAATAAGTAACAATGTATTATGTGTTATTGTTTTATATTTTTGTAATATTCAGTTTACTGTAATACACATGGCTCTATCAGGCAATGCAGGCAGGAATAGATTACTGGAAACTGTCCTTGCTGAAGCTAGTATTCCTGATGGTATATTCTATACTTGTTTTTGGAAATATTCAAGAACTCTTTCGTTATAGCCTGCTGAATCTAATCTTCCTCCAAAAGCTTTGTGCACACACAGCAAAATGTCCACGTTACCTACCACATGGCAACAATATCTGATAACAAGTTGTTCAGGCAAATTTTCCCATAAGTCACCTACCACCCAGCCAAAAAATTTCAAGATGTGCCATCACCCAGATCCAATAGGTTAATTGGCAATTGATCATCTTTTATGTATACTTGGTAAAGAGAGAATAGAAGTAACAGTAAATAATTTGAAGCAGTCTTGTACTTAAGGAAAGGAGGAGAGCATTATTTATCTGATGTCTTGGCATTGTGGCTATATCTCTGACATAGACTGCCTTTCCATTGCCCATTGCTCATCATATTGAATAATAATTTCAAAAATGATTTTACAGTAAGAAACTATATGACTGTTATTATCTCGAAATATTTAGGGAGGAATTATTTTTGAAAAAAATGTCCATTCTTCCCATCTAAACTAGACAGACTATCAGACTTATAATATATATTTTATTTTTATTGATTAAATAGGCAAATAGCATGAAATAAATTTACTCTGTATCCATCATATTATTAATTTTGTAATGTTTTCTTTGCAGATTATTCTTGTGCATTGCAGAAAGACATTTTAGTCCATGGCCGCCTCTATGTTACACCAAACTACTTCAGTTTCTACTCAAAGATATTTGGGTGGGAGACATTTGTAAGTAGCCTTTATTATTTTTAAAAATCATATATAGGATTAAAGAAAGAGAGAGAGAGAATAAATTATGCAGGAAAATAAAGAGATATGATAGGAATAATTGTACAACCATAACAGATTTTTGAATGATAGGAAGTGTATTGTACCAAAACTAAAACTCCATTAATCCTCTCACAACAGGTATCAATTCGCTGCAAGGACATCATAGCGATGACAAAAGAGAAGACAGCTCTTGTGATTCCAAATGCCATTGAAATCCGAACCGAGGGAGAGAAGCACTTCCTTACATCGTTTGCTTCCAGAGATAAAACATACTTAATGCTCTTTAGAATTTGGCAAAATGCTTTAATGGACCAGGTAAGTGGGTTTGAACATTGTTGTATATAAAAATTACAATTTTTTTACCGTTGTTATATACTAATGCTATAGAGACTTTGTCAATAGATTAATGTTATTTAGATACCAAAGGAAACTGCCATGTAATCTAGAACTTTTTTTCCTCACCAAAATGAGATAGCTAAGATTATATATATAGTTTTAAATGTAGTTTAAGAAATGACTTTATATTTTATTAAGATTTGAGATGCTAAACAGCGGCATATATCCTTATTACATGCATTTGATTTCTCTCCTAAAGCAAATGAGTGCAACTGAACTGTGGCAGTGGGTTCACTCTAGCTATGGTGATGAACTGGGCCTTACCAGTGATGACGATGACTATGTAGCCCCATCTACTGAAGACGATGCAAAGACCAACACTAGCAACATGCATAGTGATCGTGCATGTGATTCTTCAAGTATAAACACAAACCTCAAGCTCTACACAGGCGATTCCATGGAA